TTTTGTATTAATTTCTTTTCGAACTATGTATAGTTAATAGGGGTTTCACTATGGTTTCCAAATAGGGCCGTTTTTGCTAGCATATCCACCCCCGTCCTTTCGATTACACCGTTGAATTAACATAGAAAATACTTCGTGATTCGAACTATTCCCAAATTTTCCTTCTCGTTCAAGCAAACTCCGAACTCGTCGAACGGTATTTTGATGTTTTCTTTCATAAGTTAATTCAATGTTAGCGATTTTTTCATTTGCCTATATATAAACGCAATGGTTATTTTTGTTTTTTTTATTTTAATAAGTTTAAAAAAATCAATTCCTACTAGCAACCCTTGAGTACACCAATCAGAAAGTTTATAAGGCACTTTATAATACAATGTCGTTTTACGTTGTTTTTGTCCTTCTTCTAAACTTCGAGCCTTTCGTAATGCATTCTTTTTCTCTTGATTGATTATCCAGTTTGTCTGCAGTTTTTTCTCGAACTTCATTCATTTTTTGATTACCTGTTTCATTTTTGTTATTATCAGCCTTATTTTCAAAAGAGTTACAATGTTCTGTTATTGATGTTAGTCGACTATGCTTTTTTCTTTGTGTAGCTTTTGCACCACTTTCACTATCCAACCGTATTAACCGTGATGCATCGCTTTCCCTTGCATTTCGTTGAGCACGCCATGCTGCAACTCTATTACTACTTGTTTTTGTTATCAATTTAGGTGATGAACAATCAGTTGCATCAATTACCTGCTTATTTTTCATAATAAATATATATTTCACATCTCCACTATTTTTACCTGGAGCGTATTATTTTGAATACCTAAAAAAATTGCTATTAATGAATTTAAAAATAGAAATTGTTTCAGTTGTGTCATTAGCTGATAGGATATTCTTCTAATAGGTTTCGATAAACTATTGACTTATGATATACTAAAGGATGATGCGTAAAAATACGTATAAGTATTTACACTACATCACAAAACTACTCCTCGTTTTTATTCTACGTATTATATAATAATTAATATACCTCATCTTAAAAATAGAGCTATGTATAAAAGTGTGTTTGTTTATTTAAAATTACATGCTTTTTTGCAAATTTGACACAGGTTTAACATATATCTTATTTCAATCATTCCTGGTCAACAAACTAGAATTAATATATAAATTGAAGCTTACATTTTTAAGAAATTAGCATTCATCAGTACTATTTTTTAAGTGCTATTTGTTGTTATACTATTTTTATTCATATGTCGAAATTAGTCTAATATTTATCATGGTCACTTTAAACAATTTACCCATTAAAATAATTAAAAACATTCAAACACTACATCACTGGATATACAATGTGCGATTTATCGTACAACCACTCACAATATTAAGAATATCAAACTATTTGTAAACATATTGGTACCTCACATTCGCGTACATTTCAATAGCATGAAAACAATATCAATCATTTCAGAATATAAAACCATCTGATATTTATTTCTACATAATTCCTTTTTTGATTCGTTTATTATCTTTACATAATTTAATTATGAATCCACATTATTAAAAATTTTTTATTTTATGTACATGGATTTTTTGTCTAAATGATAATATAAAGAAAATGTAGCAAGTGAATTTGTTTATTTATTTATTTTAAATGAAGTTAAGCTTTCGACGTAAAGTGTCATCATCAGAACTTTGAAATATAAAAGATCATCATGAATTTCCAGGATCAATAATGAATTTCAATCATCGTGATTTTTAACAACATAATGAATATGACCATCATGATCTCACATAATAATCTATAACCGATTCCAATACCAGATGTTGTTCTAAACTCTACTGTTTAGAATGAAAAAATTGAATGTACCATGCTTGTTTTGTTGAAGCTGCTATTGAATGTCATAGTAAAAAATTTTTATTTTATGTACATGGATTGTTCGTTTGATTCATGTTGTTGGTGAGAATAATATTCAAAGTTGACGAGTTGTTGGTTTTTTTTTTAATCGAATTCGGGACGATCTAAAAGTATATAAAATTATATGTTATGTGAATAACGAAGTTGAATTTTGTTTTATATAGTTGGGTGTGGGAAAATTTTGGATGACGGGTGTTTGCTTATGATTTAATGGTGGTTAGTTTTTTTCATTCTATCATTTGTTAAGTATGAATGATTTTGTTTTCATGCAGAGTAGGACGCAGTTGTGAAGTGTTGCTATGTAGATTCGATACTTCGAGTTTTGTCATTAAGCGTTAGTTTCTTTGATTTTATATAGCAAGTTGAGGGGGGTGGGTATGATCATTTGATTAGTGGTTGCGATGGCGTATGAATGTTGGTGTTGATGTGACATTGTTTTTCAGTTGGTTGTCTTTCTCTCTGTTCTGGTGTTTGGATTTTTTCGAAAGATTATCAAAAGTAATGGTAAAGTCTTTTTTTGTTGATAAATTTTATTTCTTTCGCCACATTTAGGATCTTTCTTTTTAATAACGACTCAACGAGGATTTGCTATCCGAAATTTTGAAGATTTTGTCTGGGACTATTATGGGGAAGAGTTGTTTTATATTTACCGGAGTGTGGCAAAGTGGTACTACCAGATTGAGTTGCTTCTATGCGATATTCATTTTTTAAAAACATGTCGGTTAAAAGATATCATGCCAACATTTTTATGGTTTAAAATGGGGAATGATCGCTTGATGTCTTCACCAGTGTATAAAGATTGTCAACGGCGTTTTCTGAGTGTTGAAATCGATTGGAAGTACAAACAACTGTATAAATTGAAAAAGTAGTATGAATCTTCGCTCAATGCACTCCGTGATATTGCTGGTATTGATTCTTTTAACCATTTGAATAATATGATTGTGCGTCTCCATTCACCTCTATTGAAGAAAAAAGAAGAGAAAGTTAATAAAAAATTATGTTCTTTCAATATTAAAGTATCGAGTTGTCCTAATGATCCGAAAGTTGTTACTAATATGTCGTCACACGTACTATCAAATGAAGAAACTCTTTGTCTCGCTAATGGATTAAATTATGGTTTAGTGCCTAAACGTATTGATTCGATGAATGTCGTCAGTAATGTAGAGCAATTTTTTCACCATGTGACTGACATCTTTCAACAGCACAAGGAATTTATGAAAGAATTAAGGGAAAATGAAGTCAAGATGGACAGCGATGTGCGTGTTTTAAACACAAAAGAGCTTACCCTGGCTAGTGACTTACGTTGGATTACTCGGTCATATTTACGGAAAGCTGAAGATTTTCGATTACAAAAAAATAAAATCGATTCTAAAGAAGAGGATTATCGTCACCTTCTGAAGAAATTAAAAGAAAATACCTCAATAATTATTACTCGTCCAGACAAAGGAAGAGGAGTTGTTGTGATGGACAAGCACGCCTATGTAAGCAAAATGCTCACTATTCTCAATGACTCATCAAAATTCTCATGCTTATCTGAAGATCCTACAATCAAAAGAGAGGGTAGTTTGATGAGATTATTACTACGACTGCACAATGAGAAAAGCATTACGGATCAATTTTTGAATTTTGCGCGTCCTATTGGATCCAATCCTGGGCGACTTTACGGTCTTCCAAAAATCCATAAAAAAACAGAAAACGTACCACTTCGAGATGTACCACTTAGACCAGTACTCTCGTCGGTTGGAACGTTCAATTATAGACTTGCGAAGGCTTTAACTCATATGTTTTCGGATATTATAAAAAAACAAAACATCATTCGTGACTCGTTTTCTTTTGTTAAAGAGTTAAAAGAATTACCAAAAGTTAAATCAATGTATAAGATGGTATCGTTTGATATTACGAGTTTATACACAAATATACCAGTTGATGAAACTATTAAAATTATCCTGAAGCATTTATATGAAATTCGGTCTACGCCACCTCTTATTAAACAGGATGATATGGAGCAACTCCTGATATTTGCTACAAAAAGATCTCATTTTCTTTTTGATGGTAAAGTTTACGACCAAATTGATGGAGTATCAATGGGATCTCCTTTGGCACCTCTACTTGCTGAAATTTTTCTACAAGAATTCGAGAGGAAATATTTACCATCATTTGAAGATATGGGAATTATTTACTGGAAACGATACGTTGATGACACTTTTGTACTACTCAACCCAAACTTTTCCAGAAAAGATGTTTGTGCTAATCTATCAAAACTTCATCCGTCTCTTCAATTCACTTCTGAAGAGGAAAATAAAGATACATGCACACTACCATTTCTTGGTGTACTCGTTCAAAGGCAAGCAGGTATCGGCTTTCATACTGGGATCTACAGAAAAGAAACCTTTACTGGTCTCATTACAAAATGGAGTAGCTTCGTTCCGAAAATTTATAAATATAATACAATTTCTACTATGATTTACCGGGCTATTCAACTTTGTTCCTCAAATAAATCACTCCATGAAGAGTTCGAATTTATTCGAGAATTATCAACTAAAAATGGCTATCCTGCTGGTTTTGTAGACTCAATTATTGGACCAAAACTGAACATTATAAATGCACCTCCTTCTCCTCCTCCTTCTCCCTCTAATACATCAACTCCTAAAACTGAAACGGTAGTATTTAGAATACCGTACATCGGCAAAGAATCTCATGTGTATGGGAAGCGTATTACATCTACTGTTCTTAATCACTATCCACTTAAAAAAATACGCCTAATCTATGATGTAATAGACCGTATTGGACGCGGCTTCTCAATGAAAGATGTTGTTCCAAAAGAGTTAATATCTCACGTTGTCTATGAAGCAACTTGTTCCAAATGTGATCAAAAATATATTGGCCAAACATGCCGACACCTAAAAACAAGAATGAATGAGCATTTAACAAATCAAAATAAATTCATACCTCAACTTTCAAAAAAGGCAGCAATAACGCTCAAAAGAAATAATAATTCTCATAAATCAACTATTCAACAACGTCCTGTAACTCGATCTCAAACAGGAAAACTACCACCAATGCGAATTCACCTAAACCAAGATGATCTTAATGAACTATTTAAAGAAACTAAAATAAACCAAAGCATTGAACCACCACATAAACCCACATCAGCGATAACAAAACACTATCTTTCAACAGGTCACGTTTTACATAACAGCGATTTTCGTGTATTGCTAAAAGAACAGAATCGATATCGACTAGTGATCAAAGAATCATTGTTGATTAAAGCTAATGAGCCGAAACTGAATGGAAAAGAAAGATCAATGCCACTTTACATCTTTCCAAATGGCACTGAAATAAAAAAAAAACAATCGAAAATAAAATCAACAGGTTGACTGTTCGACCTATGATAGGCAAGAAAAAATAGAGGATAACATCTTTGGAAAACGAAATCACCATTTTGTTTTATTCATAGATTCTGTTCGATCATAATAATGGCTCACCATCCAAACTGTACATATTCTGAATAAACATACGACCCATCCTCTGCTTTCACTCATCAAATACTTCATCTATTCTCAAATATTCATAAGCATTGAACATGCATCGATATTCCCCTTCAATGCTAAGTAATATCATCAACATAGAACTAATATAACGAAAGAAACTTATCTACATATAGTATATACACTAAAACAACAAAATCCAAATCAACCTACATAAATTCAATATGAAACAATATCCTTCACACATATCCACACCAATTAGACAAACCCTATACAAACACTCACTTCAAAAACACCTGCAAGTAGAACTGAAAACGTAAATCATACACATCTAAAAATAAAACTATTCACTTGTAGGCAACAAAAACAGAATACGAAAACAATTCTACACCGCCAGCATACTTCGACATTCCCGCTTCGAACGAATTGAATCATCACGTAACACTTATTTACCCTTTCTCATTACTATTGGCTCAGATATAGACCATACGCATTATACTACTAAATGCGAAAACGACATCCTCAACACATCTCCTTCAACACTACATCTATCCGTTAATCTCAGCACCATCAACATCACACATTCATCACCGCCTTTATTCACTCATTCACATGTTAGATCATTAATATCAGAAATTGATGATCTTCATAATATTATCATGAACAAGTAAAATCATTCAAATCAAATTATAATAAACATATATTTTCATTGATCAATATGTTAGACAACGCACGTGAATCATGATGATCTTTTATATTTCAAAGTTCTGATGATGACACTTTACGTCGAAAGCTTAACTTCATTTAAAATAAATAAATAAACAAATTCACTTGCTGCATTTTCTTTATATTATAATCCACATTATTTTAACAGACGGAATTTTTATCAGTGCATCCATTTACATAAACTAGTTCCTCAACATGAAACTATAATTCAAAATGTTTAATGCGACAGACTAGATATCTTTATAATCAAAGATTAAAATTGATTCGAACTGTATTATTTATATGCACTGTAACGTGACAATTGAAACAACAGATTTTTAAAAAGAGTATTTTACAATAATACAATTCTTAAGATTTCAAAATTATCAAATTACAAATGCATACTTTTTGAAGCTTCTAATTCTTGACATTGTTTTTCCGCATTGTCGCAGAAAATGTTTGGGCATATCGTTGTTCTTTTCATACATACATTAAAAATATTTGTTAATTGTGAAGAAGGACATGCTAGATAAAATAGATCAACATGTTCTTTGACGTCTTAATAAGACTGTGTATACAAACATTTCGTTTTGTTGTTGTTAATATTGTTTTCATCTTCCTCCATATCGAGTGTAAAATAGGTGTAACGTTTTCACTTATATTTATTTAAAAAAAATAATATAGATGTTATTACGAAATATTTCATATATTTAACTTAGCGCTATTTTGGATATAAATGAATTAATATTATGTTATTTAAATGATACAATATTAGCTAATAAAAATTATACTATCAAAAATATTCTGTACCCATTGAGAAGAGTACAAACCAAATTTTAAAAGTATTTATTTACGCAACATCAAAATAATCAGCACTTTTATCTTAGTTACCTGGTGATTGATTGTGTATTTACATTATCGTTTTTTTTATAGCTACCTGGCCACTTTGTATCATAGTTACGTGGTGATTTGTGCCAAAAAAATGGTCCTTTGTACCAAAAAAAATGGTCATTTATACCAAAAAAATGGTCATTTGTGCCATGTTACAGACAAAAACGATAACGCACTCAGATGAATTCCCGTTTCTAGACCCTATCCTTACAGTCTAGGGAACACCATATTTTATTTTAAGAAATCTCTGCTTTGCTTTGATATTAAAAGTAAGAGGAATTATTTTCTTTTGAAATTTTTCCTTTTAATTTAACATTTATATGCAGTGCTTCAACTACCTGATGATGACCCTTGAGAAAGGTCGAAATCTAGATCGTGGTTAAATTTCTTTAAAAATAATACACACCCACACCGACACCCTTTATGACAATATTATTTAAATTTCAAAACTTCTCCTGTATATAATTAATATACAAAATATGAAACCGTGATTGCTCCTATGTATTCAACGTAGTCTGCATCTTTATATACATACACTAAAGTAAATCTTAATGCTAATGATGAATTATCCATTTAAACGTCTGCGTGTCTTTTCTAAGACTCATAGAACTTCAATGTCATTAATTTGGTAAAGTTATTATACGTTTTTTTTTTACAAATAGCAAGACAACTGAAAGTTAATTAAATACGAATATCCCTCATTCTTCTTATTTTTGATATTTCGTTTCAATAGACTACTCATCTACTAGTTATATCATATATTTCAAAGAAACAACTATAGTTTATGCTATATTGTCTACACGAACTTTAAATTATTTAAGTTTGCAGAAAAAATACATATACACTAATACGAAACAACCATCTTGCTCTTTATATATCATACTTCGACAACATTTTTGCTAAAAATCACATGAGCATATCTTGTAGTATGAACTAATTGTATACTATCTAAGTTGCGTCCAAGATTTTACTTACATCAGCTATATCATGTTTCACACTTTTCATCAGAGAGGGATTGCGCTAACAGTTTTTGTACTTGGGTGTACTTTTCGACCTAAAGTACGCCGTTTCCCCCTTGAACCACACCCACATCCAAAAATTATTTCAAAGAAGATTCTTCTGAATCCCAGCTATATTGGTCAAGGGCAGCTAAAAGATGAATCATATCTGACAGGGACAAGGAATACTTGCGGTGTGAAAAATTCGTGGTTTTTGATTGCTGATGATCATACATTCGGGCAGGAGGCTAAAGGCTCTGCCTGCGGCTTTTTATGAATATAAAATAATCCGAAGAACTTCTCTTGAATACCGGTTGTAAATATTTGAAATGCACGGAGAGCGTTTTCCTCAATATAGCGCACGTAACCATAAAGTACAGATCCACCCAGGCAGATTGCTGCGCCAATAAAGTTACTCCACTTTACTGGTGCCTGTCCTCCACTTAAAAAATAGCCTCCTACGAATATTAAAGCAGTCTTTGCATGGCCTGTCACTTGATACGTCAGAGCAGACGTGTTTCTGATCAATCCATAACAACATAAATTCACAGAGGCAGCAAGTATAGCGCTCAATGATATCCATTTGGCCTCTAAGACTGTCCATTTGTGAGCTAAAATAGTTGTGTGTCGGAAGAAAGTATTGGATTCGAGGAGTAACGCTAGAGTTAGACACACAAAAAACGTAGGCAATGCTTGAGCGTGATTTATTTGCATCGCGCTTAAGTCATAGTCATGTTGTTTTTTACCTTGTGATAATTGAAGCTGGGTTGTTGTAATAACAGCAATTATACCTACGACGGTACCTAGCCAATTCAATTGGCCATTTGTTACTGTGGCTAATGCCATGCCAAAAACTATTATTCCTAATGAAAGCTTTACGGCAAATGAAGTGCTTATTTTATAAAGAATCCTCTGTATGAATACTAGCCATGGAGTGCCCAACAATTTGCACAACTGGTAGAAACCAACACTATTTAGCTGAAGGCTCAAATTCATTAGTCCAATCGACACGGCACATGTAACTGCCATGATTGCTGAGCATTTCCAGGGAAGTCGAGAGCGGCTAAAACATCCGACTAGAGCCATCGTTTCCATCACTACCGCTGTAACAAGAAAATGTATTGATGCCAAGGTAAACACGTACACAAAGTTAAACGGAGGACCCATTATGAGTTTATTGGTTAAAATTATCCCGACGGAGCTTAAGATACTGCTTATTACCCATGCCGCAGTTTTAGCATGGTTCTTAGTGTTGGTGGTTGCCAGAAGCATCATTTGAACACGCTCTTGATTAAGCAGTAAGACTATGATTAATCCAACAGCTATAGAACTCCACCAGTGGGAGATAAATAAATCTTTTTATTTAGAAAGGTAAATTTATGAGTTGAACGAGAGAGAATGCGTGTAGATGAGCGTTAAAGCTCTGCTTTCCTTCAAAAGGCGTCTTCTTCCCTCCGCACGAGAATTCTGAATAATCTTTCTTTATTTCTTGTTTACTAACAGTGATTTTGAACAATTTGGCGCATTAGATGCCTTTGTTGGACAAAAAAAAACTCGTATGAGAGAAAATTTCAAATTTTCAACGCCCTAGTAATCATCAACGGCATATATTTACATAGTAATTCCCACTAAATCAAATTTGAAGTAGTTATTGAGCGTGAGCGCGGGTGTGGGGATCAGAATGCCAAAATACATGTGTGGATGCTAGTGCATATTTCTGCTTTAATTCTCAGTGTGGATCAACGAATATATGCCCTACTGTTCGTTATCAGTGCGCATGCGCCGTTGTGGCATATGATGCCTTCTAATAATATCTCAAGAAACTCAATTATGTACTAAGGTAATAGATATAGAGATATAGGAGGTTTAGAAATGATTTGACAGAGTGTTAACAAAGAAGTTTTCTCCCCACTTTACATTTGGGTAGTAATGGGCCGTAAGACGTAAAAGGAGTTATACGTTTCGTTATCGTATCGTCGTATGTCACGACAAAACAGAAACGAAATATTGTATAGTTACGTACTGAACGTAACAAAAAAGGCAGAACTCAAGAAAATACGTATACTGCGGCGAAACGAAAATTGTACGTAAAAATTACGGAATGATTTATATTGAGAAAGAAAATATTCGATTTTGTGATGATGTTCACCATATTCAGGTGCCCAGAAGAATCATTCCGAGAGTAGGATCCGATAAGATCCCAGAGGAAATCCTATCCGATATCATTAAAATGTTGATAAAACCGATGAGATTCCGTTGGATTCCTGGAAACGGATTTACAGTCGGATCCCTGCCGCTGGAATCCGAGAAAAACCTGTGCCGGAATTCAATGGAAGCCCACGCTAG